ATGATTGCTACTGTAGAAATTGTTAATTACGCAGTAATTGCTAAAAAAAGAGTGACAGAGAGAAGAAGCGATGTTACGATTGTTTATATTATTTTCTTTTTTTTTCACTTTAATATTCAATTAATCTAATTATAAAAATACAATTAAATATGTATGAATGTAAATAATAATAATGATAACGCATATATAATGAATATGAACTTAGTAAATTGATAGAAAAAGATGAAATTAAGTTCAATGGATAATTTCGACAAAGATGTATCATGAAAATTAGAAGAAAGAAAAGATAGAATAATTGCTATAAATAAAATTGGAAAACAATGCGAAATTGTGGCATCTGTGGAAAGTGTCATATGAGAATTGATAAATGTATGAAAGGGGAAAGGAAAAGAAAGGAAAAGAAGTGAAGGATGAGGAAAAGTGGAGAAATGAGAAATATTTGATATATAAAGACGAAGCTGATAAGAAAGATTTGATAAAATTGATTAGTGTTAAACTAGTGAAATTAAATTAGTGAAATTCACAGCACTGATTGAAGTTATTCAGAAATAAAAATTATAAGTAATTTCATTTTTTCCCGGCAATTTGTGGAAATTTTTTCAATCAAATTCATTTAAAAAATACCACCATTTAATTGTAAATTTTAGCGATTGATTGGCAATTTTGATTAAAATAAATGATGCTATATTGTAACAAAATTTTTTTTAAATAATAATATTGATATCTTATAGAGCAATCAAATCGCATTTGCTTTTTTCACTTAAATGAATTAAGTGTGTAGTTGTAACCAATAAAAATTACGCGTTAACAATTTTTTCTGACAACTTTATAAAAATAATTAATAACAACATAATTTTGAAACACACTTAATTACAATTAATAAGAACATAATTTTGAAACGTATTAAAGTAAGCAAATGGACGTTACATATTTTAATAAAGTATGTGTAAGATTTATTTTGAATTATTCAATAGAATATTTCAAAATAAAAATTATTGCGTAATTATCGATTGGAATATAAGATAGCTACAACAGAAACGATGAGAAATTGTTTGAAATATTAGCGAATAGAAATAAAAGCAAAATTATCGATGAGATTTTGCTTTACATCTAAAGAATAGCTAATTATCAATTATTGAAAACAAAAATATAAATTGCCGAAGCAACATAATTTGATCGACTTTGAATTAATATGAGAAATAGAACCATAAATTTACTTTATGGTAAATTAGTAATCGCAAAATGAAATAACTTAATAATTAAATTATCAACATCAAAATTACTCTTCCTATTATGTAATGAAGAAAAATAAACGAGTAATGATATACAATTTTTTCTTTTGCATAGAAAAATGGAAAAGTATAAAAAACGTATGTTGCTAAAAAAGAAATTACTTCATTTTCACTGTTCAAGCAATTAATAAATTGACAGTTTAATTGCCAATATTTATTACGCTAAATATATTTTTTATACACCAACTATTTATCATGCTAATTGGTTAGCAAACATTTTTAGTGTCAAATAAGCAACCTGTTAATATTTATATTTTTTTCATTTGATTAATCAATTCTTTCAAGAAACAGTTTTATAGCATTAAAAAACGAGCTATAAAAAAACAATTAAAGGAATAAATAATTAATAATAGCCATTTTTAACAGTTATTTTTTATAAAGGAAAGAAAGTTGTTCAAAAAAATAATTTGCAAAGATTTTTTGTCCAAAAAAAGAAGAAAAAAAGCAAAATCAAGAATATTGACAAAATTACCTTGAAAAAAAAGAAATTTATGAGCTAAAAAACAAATAATAATTCAATGCAAATAATTCTTATTGCATTTGATTATTTTTTTTCAACGCAAAAAATTCTCGCCCAATAATTTATTTTAAAAAATAAAATAATCAGTATTAATTCATCCTGCTATAATAAATAATTCTGGAAATGAATATATATTTTCATTTCCTGCAGTGTTTCTCGTTTTTTCTCATTCCTACTTCATTTTTCTACAGATGTTGTGACATAGATACGTACTGTTTTAATTTAATTTCAAATAATATTTTTAACTAAATAATGCATGAATTGAATAGAAGCAATATGTGTATATTTTTTACCGTAATTTGAATATTACTACGTTAATGATATATCATTTTTTAAAGCAAATGAATTACTTTCCTCATTATATATAATTTTAAATTTATTAAATTTAACGTGTGTATCAAACTACTTGAATTATTTTTGCTTTATAAAACAAACAAGTTAATTCAAAAACTAATGTAAATTTTCAAGTTTGAATATAAAAAATAATTGAGAAAATGCATTTGAGTAGTGATAGAGAATTTAGAAAGAAAAATTTTCAACAGACATAAAAATAAGTTTGAATAATAAATAATTGAAATTTTCATACTGAACCTGACATTTTCGAAATTTTTTCCCCAAAAAATAATGTAAAAATTTCTAAAATATTTCACTAAATTCTATCATAAGAAAATTAGCATTTCAGTTGAACTTGCATGGATGCAAGAAAAAATGACATTGCGAAGTGACTAAGTTGGATTAATTAAGCTATTTGATGAGAAACTATTCATTTTTTAAAATTTATTTTTTTGAACTTACGTTAAATTTTTTTAAGATCTGTTTAATCTATTTTACTTTTCATATCTATGAAAATCTGTTGCTGCAGTTTAAAAAAATAACTAAGACTTTCAAAAACTTTTCTTGCAATTTTATTAGATGAAAGAATATTTATTGAATAAGAGTGAGTAGCTGAGAAACATTTTAAGCTAATATTACAATTAGCACATTACTCTAAACAGAAATTATTTTTCAAATCTTTTCGAATTCAGTTTATATACATTTATTATCGTAGATTTCTTCAACCATACCTTTACAAATTCAAAATAATTTCTCATTTCGATGATATAAAATGTCTCTTTCGCTTTTTTGTTTTCTTATCGAAATATTTATTTTCTCCCCTTTATTTTGTTAATTATATTACAGTTAGTAGCAATATTATCAATTTTCTTGTCCGAAAATGTCTATGGTAATAATCTCTTCTTGTAAAACATTAACGATATTCGCCCGATTTAAATTATTATCATAAAAAGAAATCTTACAATGACACAATTTTGCAATAGTATCATATTTGATACTAAAGGAAAATACAATTTTATAGAAAAGTCATAAAATTTGTATAGTTAAAATTGCAATTCTATAAGATTCATAAGTTTGAAAAAGAATTATTTTTGAAAATTACAAAATTTTGAACAAATATCTTTGTAAAAGAATGGCATGCAAAAATATGAAATAAATTTTCAAATATTGAAATAGTTTTTAAAAAGATGGATGTATTTATTCGTTTTATAAGGATTATTAAATTATTGCTTCTGGCAGAAGGTTAAAGAGTAAATAACTATAATTGATAAATTGAATATTTTTTTTTACTAAATCATTTTGTTGAAATTATAAGTGAAATATTCATTAATATGTTGCAAAAGTGTGTTTGATATTTGCAATCATCGCATCAAAATTTCTTCTCAATTATATTGGAAAAATGTTGACTTCATTAATATGTAATTTATCCCATTCATTTCTCATTTTTTAAACAATTAGTTTAATTTTCGGAAAATTTTAAATTTAGCTTTATTTTTAATCTAAAGCTTTATTTTTTTAATTATTATCAAAATAAAGGATAAGAATTTTAATAATTAAATTTGGCTAAAATTTAGTATGTGCCCAATATAGCACTTTATTGAGACTATTTTGGCGAAATTATTTTGTCGAAATAAACTTTACTCCAAATTTCAAATTAAATTGCAAATTTGGTCAAACCTCGGCTAAGTTTCAAATTTCAAAGAAAGATACTGTTGACTGAATGATCTATTAAAAGAAAAAATTGAAGTCATGATTGTTCAAAAGTTGGGTAAAAGTTATCGTATTCAGCTATATTTTATGTTTTATGAAATAAAGCTAAATACGCTTTTTTAAGCTCTCATTTTTAAAACTTTTTATTATGGTTAAAAAACATATAATACTTAAATTTTTGGTGATAAGCTTGATAATCTAATTCATCAGTTTACATCAATCCCACTGATCCTACATAAAAAATATAAATATTTTTATCATACATAAATTCTGTAATTGAATCTCATGTATAACGTGAAATTTCGATGTTAACATAAGAGAGATGACAAATTTTAAAAGTTTTAATTTCTTCAAAAAACAAACATTACCATAAATATTATCACAAATTAAATTCATGTAATACAAAAATAAAAAACCATCAATACGATTATATATGTATTATAAAAGAAGAACAAAAAAAGAAAAAATGGATGATGGTTCCAATAAATCTGAAAAAAATTCTTGTAGTGCAAAAGAATGTAAAATATAAGTCTGATGAAATTATGGGGAATTTATAAAAAAGTAAATAAGAATCAAAGAAGAAAATAATACCGTTATAATAAATTATAAAAATATATTCAATGTAAAAATTTAATATGAAAACGGATTTTTAATTTTAAGACGAACTGAAATGCCCTATAAAAAATAAATCATAACGATGCCTATTTCATTTCATTCCATCATTCATTTATTTTTCATTTCAGCATCCAAACATAGGAACTATTTTGTAGTAAGTAAGTGGAATAGAATAAGTTATGATAAGTAGCATATAGACAATTTAGCATAAAATGTATATAATTACAGTTTTTAAAAAGGACTACTAATAACATAAGGACAAATATTTATGAGCAAACAATAAAATTAAACAATACTAGCAGTGGTCATTTTTAAAAAATAAGTTAACAAATATAAAATTTATCTTATTTTAGCAACAAACTACAAGTTATCGTACTTCGAATGCTTTTAAAACATTTGTAATTTCCATAGAAAGAAATCACCCAACAAATTTTAAAATTTAATTCAAAATATATAATTCCTAAAAATGACAAATAAAACAAATAATATTTAAAATGGTGATATATGACATATGTTACTCCTAAAACTTTCTAAACTTTACTAAACTTAAGACCAGATTCCTCACTGCTATAGCAACTTTGGCAATGAAGCTTAGAATCACGGACCCGAACATCGGTGCCACGCGTTCCATTTCCCAATGTCATCTTACAGACGTAACATCGGAAGCAACTCAAATGATAAAACAAATTCAACGATTCAATGATCATTGCAGCACCACGTCCTATAAAATAATTGAAATTGCAATGAATTTATTGTACAATAGTAAAAAAGTATTTTATTTCATTTACATTTTTATTGTGATTACAAATTATTTATTATAATAACAAATATATTATTGTGAATTCATTATAGTAAGAAAATTATATAAACTCGTTGAAACAAATATAAAAATGTGGTATATGAAATAAAAAAAGGGAGGAGAAAGTACAAAAAAAATTAAAATATATGACATTCTTAAAACTTTCTAAACTTAACTAAACTTAAAACCACGATAATAAGCTATAATAGCTTAACTTGATTCAACATATAATCATTGAAATATGTATCTGTTATAGATGAAAATAACGATAAATCGTGATTAACTAAATTCCTATAGTTGTTAAAAATATACCTGTTACAGATGAAGATAAAATAATATGTTCGCGTGATTTATTAAATTCATTTTAATACTAACGCAAAATCGAAATATCATTCATGCATTAAGAAAAAGGATGGAAAACGAACAAATCTTGCTGTAATACAAATACAGGTAATAAGCATAAAAGTATGTTATGTCTTTTTTTTCCAAAGCAATAAAAAATGCATGCAAAGCTCGAGAAAATTGATACATACGTGATAGATGGCGGTCAGTTTGACATTTAGAAGCATAGATCACACTTACAATTCACTAAAATGAATGGATAAACTTTGCAAAATTATAATAAGCGAAAAAAAAAAGAAAAAGCAACTTTCATATCATTTAAAGCAACTGTGCAAGATTTTTTCCCGTTTTGCTTTGCTTTAGAAAAATGAATTGAGTTAAGGAAATAAAACGATGCTATAAATTCATGTAAATTTTGAAATGCAATATTAATTGTAAGCATGTGAAAAATTAATTTTATTTTTGAGCAAAAAAGCAGAAAAAAGTTAATAAAATATGTTAACGATAAAAGTTAGGAAAAAAAAAGAAAAATGTATGGTTAAAGTGATGAAAATATTTCTCACTAAGAAAGAAAGCAATTCTGTATGTAAAAATAAACATAGCACAAAGTTTGATGTGTAAAGTGTATAAGATAAAATAAAACTTTATTTAAAGTTTTGTTTAATAAAATACGATGATAACTTGCCGAGTTCCATATTACAATGTGAGCATCGATGTTTTCCACTCACTGATAACAGCGGTTCATCTGTATTCGATGACGGTTTAGTGATTTCTTTACGACTGTTTGTTTCATTCGACTGCAAAAAAAAGCAAGCGACAAACAAAATATTAACAAATCACAACCGATACTTTGAATTAATTTGAATTGATTGACATTATCAATTTATGATATTAATACTCATTAGCATTATCATTTTAATATTGGACAGTTAATATTATTAAATTTTTTGAAAAAAAATTGTTCATTTAGATAATAATTCAATTTCATATTGCAAAAAGAAAAGATTCATAGTTGAAAGACTATATGTGATAGTTAAATTTAACTTTTTAAGTGTGTTAAAATAGAAGTTTTTTTAGATGTATAAAAAAGACTACCTGTAGGTATATTAAAAGATAAAGAGGTTGGTTTCACTTTCATTAATGACTAGTGGAAATTGTTCGATGTAAACTGTTAATATTAGAATATATTTTCTCAATTATTTAGTTAGTTATTTTGATTTTAATTATTCCGGCACTTTGAGTAAAACTTTTGAAACTGAATGTGAAAAAATTTTGTATAATCGAATGAGCGCTCAAACAGATTTGGAGTTTTTAAAATTAATTATTTAGAATTGGTTAAAATTAATACTAAACAAATTTAAAATTTATTAAACTAATTAAGCCAAATTACAAAATTATATTAGTTTCATTCTCTTAATTTTATGAAACAAAAATTATATACCGCATAAGCTCTATTTGAATTTGATGCAATGGATCGATTGTTCTCTGATGATTTTCTGAAATGATCAGCGGATGAAAGATTTTCGATACCCGAATTGGATTTTTTCATTTGTGCCACTTCTGATTGCGACAAATGCCTGGTTATCTTTTTGTTTCCACAAAGTGAGCTATAATTCAAAATAAAATTAATTGGGCAAAATTTTGGAAATAATTCAAATCTGAATATAAAGAAGTAATAACACTCCATTAAAATTTGAAACATAAACTGCTTGAAATACGTTCAGAAAAATTATGTTTGAAACAGAAAAAACTGAATTGCTACCAAATTTCGTGTTAAAAAACTCGATATAATATTTTGGTTTTAAAAAAGGAATTTAAAAAATTAAAAAAAGAATTTAAAACAAATTGAAATTTTTAGAATTGAAAGTTTTCTGAAGATCCAAAGCTTGCCCGTAAGATGTTTCAGTATCCTTATTTGGGCGAACTTGAAATTTCGAATCAGCATCAATTCGATTACGACTATCCGGATCACCAGGACTCGGTAAACGTTGTTGCTCAATAATTTGACGCCAATCTCGGGAATTCTGAATATATAAGACAATCATTAATCAATGTTGAAAATTCTGAGTATATATGACTTACTAATAAAGCTGTAATATATAAATACCAGAGTTTTGTGGTAAATAAGAAAATAAGAGAAATATTAATTATTCTACAAATGAACACTTAATGTTAAAGTTAAAAACAGAATTTAAAACTAATTCTCCCATCTTAGAAATGAATAAATGTGAACTATAGAATAAAAATCAATTGATTGATGAATTCATATACAGAAATTTTAATATATTTAATAATATAGTGAATAAAAACTAATTAATATATGCTTAAAGCAATATTCAGGAACAATAGGATGCTGTTTTACTACTGTCTTAAAAAATACAAAAAATATAAAATTGCATTTAATTACTAATAATAATAGGAAGAAAAAAAAGAAACACATATCATTTTATAATTGAAATGAGAAAAATTTTAAATGAATCGAAATTAGTATTATATTTTGTTATCAAAAAATTGAGAAATTTCCAATAACTTTTAAATTGCTTAAGAAAAGAAGCTCTTAATGTCATGAATAATTTCAAATAACTGTCAGGGTATTTTTTAGCTTCATTTCTGGTTCCGTATTGTATAATTCAATTGAAATATATCATTGTAGGATTCATCACCCTGTATCATTCCCTTCAATTTTCCCAATTAATCAGTGATTATAAAATCATCTATTGTCATATAACTGTGTGAACAGCACGGAGAGGTGATGAATGACGGTGAATCATCCTATATTAGCTGGTGAATATAATTCCGGAAGGTTATATGTACTATCAGTTTATCATTACTGTTAAATGATTTCTTTGCTTTCAAACAGTACAAACTGTAAATTCATCAAACCATTCTACTTTTTTTTGTAATTATTTTCTCGATAAATATAAGAAAGAGGAAAGTGCTAGGAAAAATTTTCATGACAATACTCAATTATAATATAATTATGCAGAGGTGCAATTTAAACTCATATTCATAAAAACTATTCAATTATTTTCAACCTAATTTTACATTACCAGTCGATTATTCAACGTAACTGTTTATTTGCTGTTAAAAATTGAAAAAATATTTTCCGGATAATGAAATTAATTTCATAACGTTGTTTTTTTTCTTTTGAATGTATCATAACGTTTTGCAAAAAGCGAAACAACGAAAAGTATATAATATATGAAAATTCAATTTTAAAATTGCAGGATTGAAAAGAAAAACGATTTAAGTAATAAAATTATAAAAGTATATTAAATTATTGAAGTTTTAATTGATCACGGAAAAGTTGTACAGTTCAAGAAAACAAAAATTAAATATTAAAGGTAATGCAACAAATAATGTTAATTGGCCCATCCAATTTTCTTTCAGCTTTTCTCATCGCACTTTCTTAACGTTTCCTCGCAAATTTTATAAGAATTTATTTGAAACACATTAAAAAAAATTATACCAACTACTAGAAACGATTATTAATACGATATCAAAGAGTGAATGTGTTTTTAAAAAATTAAAAATCATTAAACTATAAACAAAAACAATTCAGTCAAAGCAAAATTATTCGAGATGGAAAAATGTCAAGTGATATACTTCAAGAAACAATACTTATAAATTCAAAATTTGAAGGAAAAAAGTTCCCATCCTTGCCTCCAATTATTGTGCTACATGATCTCCCTTGCTCTTNNANCCTCCAATATCTCTCCTTATTTTCCCGCGTTATGATATGCACGTATACTTTGCCTATATAAGACATCAAATATTCATTCATTCATTCGTTCTTCTTCCTTTGGGGTTATGCGTTTGGTTTATTTTTTGCGCTCCTTATTTCATGTTTTAATATTGCGTTATTATTGCTGTGATTTAATTACCCAAGTCTGAGGTCCTAATAAACGATTAAACGATTCTTACTGTCTACACACACATACCAACAAGGCAATCTATTTTCGCTACA